ATTCTTACTGGAACTTATAAGAGAAAAAAAACAGTACTCAACTATGTATAATGTTTTGTGGTTATACTAGGACAATACTGCTAATGATAGTACAGAACTCTTTCTCATTTTATAATAAATAAATAAATAAGTAAAAGACGGAACTACTTATTCGTCTACAAAATATTTATCATCAGATAAAATAGTTTATACTTGACAAAAAAGTTCCAAGTAAAATAAATTTAGTAAAAAGATATGAATGTAAGTATCATATCTTCGAGTTTTATCTTATCACAAAACGAAAGCAAAATGCAACATGAAGAATACACATAAATAATCGAAATACTTTTAAAAAAATCTATTTGTTGAATAGTTTTACCTCATCTAATTTTCTCTTCTACATAAACATCTTTCATTCACAAACCGAACAATTAGTATGTGATCGTTATTTTTTTCTTCTACAACCTCTTCCAAACTGTTGACTAGCTCCTAATTCTACGGGAAATGAACATTTCCACTCGTTAGCTTCGATTTCATTAAGTTCAGCAAATTTACGCAAAAGATTTTCTGCTAGTTTTTGATTTCCTTGTCTAAATATTTTGTATATCCATATGGCACAACAGCGTCGAAAGATTATTTGACAATCGTTCTATCCGCCACGCCCGATGACACTAAAAAAATAAGCAGAAAAACAGTACAATAAAAATCACGATTAAGCCTATAAGTTATTTGTATTGTGTAGACTCGATATATATACGCATATTCGAATGATAATGAAAGGAAATAATCTGCTAATGGATGACGATGTTTCATCCCTGCCGGACTCGCTGATATAAAGTTCAGTATTGTGTATATTTATTTATATAAGACTTGCGAGAAGGTCAATTGAGAGAAAAGGAAGACTTGGACAGGAGTTTGTATAGCGAGTGAATAATACTGTTTTTTTGCAATCGAACGGGTTTTTATGTTTTTATTAGCACTTGAATCTCGATAACAGATTAAAAAAACACTGATGAATGATCGAATAAACATCAATGATTAAAGAATGATTTTCTAAACTCGGTATTGTAACTATAGAAATTAATCATACAGAGTCACATTATTTTCGTATTGTCTTAGATAAAAATGCTTCTGCACATGCTCATGATTTTGTGTCTTTTTCAATCGATCAATTCTTCCATTCGAACGATTGATGATTGTCAATTGTTAATCGTTGGTGGAACAACATCTGCTCTGGGAGCAATTTTATCAGCTTCGAAATTTATGAAAGGAAATGCGTGCGTACTTGAACCAACCGATTGGATTGGCGGACAATTGACAGCTGAATTATTGAGTGCGCCAGATTTCGCCGGACAGGTATTGAGAGACAAAGATACAAACTTTACTTTGGATGTCGGTTCGATCGATCGACAAATGAATAATCAAAATCTTCTCTTTGCCAAAATGCTTTCTGTCCTAGGCGATACAGGTCGATGCTGGGTTTCACCGAAATGCTCCATTCCAAACTTGTTTCATTCAGAAGCAATCGTGCCTGAATTGAATAACACTCGTATATTTTATAACACAGTCATTAAACGCATCGATAAAGATGCAAGTGGCCGTCGAATTATTCAAATTGAGGCTATTCAACGCACACCAATTCAATCATCGACTGAACGGTGTCGATTTTTGTCGGAAGAATTACCCGATTGGTACTCACCAACGGACAGTGCATGGTTTATGAAGACGCAATTATCATTTACGAACATAGTATACGTAATGGATGGTAGTTCATGGGGTGAGGCGTTAGTTTTATCAAATGCAAGTTATCTGCAAGGTGTGATGGAACGTTTCGATGGCGATACATCAGGTATTGGCGATTCGACGTGTGGACAAGCGTTTACAATCGATTTTCTTCAACAATTACGCGAGACACCTGCTGATGAACCACCCAATCCGTTGCCTGAACCGACCGGAGGAGCAAATTATACATTTGAATCTTTAACATGGGAACGTATATGGACGTATCGGCGAGTCAACACGTCTGCACCTAATGCAAATATTGTTGCTGCTAATGATATAACAATACAAAATTGGGCGGGTGGAAATGATTATAAAAAAGAATTCTTTTTTCTTTCTTTATCGGATGCCCAACATCAACGAGATACAAATCAATGGCAAGGTGGTGTGAACCTAGATGCCATTCAGAATGCAGAACGAGAAGCTTATGGGTATCATTACTGGTATCGAAAGAATTCGCCTCCTCAATGGACAAATCGAACTGTACTTGTACGTTCAGTTTCTGCAACAGGCACATGCCATGGCCTAGCAAAACTGCCATATCTAAGAGAATCACGTCGATCAATTGGTGTCGGAGATTTTCTTATGAATATTACCACTATCAGCGGACATGCACGTGATTTACATGGATATATTTTCGAAGATCGTCTATGTATTGGTACTTATAACGCTGATATACATCCAATGCATTGTAATTATTCGTCGTATATAAAAGAAGAATATCCTATTTTACCTTTTTACATACCCTTACGAGCCATGACAAATCGTGACATAGATAATTTGATAGTGATTGGTAAGACTATGGCACAATCATTTTTAGTGAATTCAGCAACTCGTCTACATCCGATAGAATTCTCTATTGGACAAGCAGCTGGCGTAGTTGGAGTGTATGCCGTGCAGAACAAGCTATCAAAGGTTGCTGACATGCTTGAAGAAGCCCATTTAAAACGTGTGCAAGCTTTGGTGAAAATATTTACGCCAGCATCATGGACAATCAATGGAACACGATATCCCGATGATTAGACTTGACATTTCAGTTTTATTGCGATGTTTTGGGCGCTTATGACTACAATTTTTTTCTTAATTCCTGTCTAGATTATATTTTTTGTGAATGTCCCATTGAATGAATACCACTGAAATAGGTACCGAATAAAACAAATCAGATTATAGCCTTTTCTGAGAAGAATCAACTAACAAAATATCTAATCGTTATTGTGACTTATAATTCTATACGCGCTCAAGTCTGGTCAAAGGACGAGCCAATGAAAACACGTACGCGGGCTTTTCCTGATAAAGAGCTTAATGAAGTTCGTTGCCATCATGAGGTTTCGCGAAGTAGCTATAGTCGAACGTGAAAATGAGCCTGATATCCACTGATACAATTACATGTAAAATTTATTTACAGAAATCATTTACAATTGTATAGATGACAACTAGTGAAATTCTTCATCTACACAACGACTTTGTCATATATTTTCTCCACCGTCGACGGATGACCATGTCCATTATTATGATTTAGCTGAGAAAAGTAGTCCCATTGATAAAAAATTTCGTCGATATCGGATGCAAAACATGGATCACATTACTCCACATAATGACCCACTCTGTAAACATATTCCTCTGTACGTAACACTACGACATGATCATGAATTCGATTTATTTGATGATACAGCATATGATTGTACATTTGTGAAACTGACAATTACTTTGGTAATACGGTATATTTTGAGAATAAATATTCGGATTTCGATTATTGTTTTATCGACGGGTCTGTAATTGAACATGTTATTGAACGATATACAAAAGTAACTGATCATCACCCACTGCGTTTGTTTGGGATAAAGAATGTGCGCCGTCACCGTCGCCTTCATATTTTAACCAATGTCAATCCTTATTTATTCAAAATGAGGAAGAAAATCAAACTACTGACAAAACATTACACAATGGAGTTGAATGTACGAAATTTTCTCTGGATGTATGAAGAAACCCTTCCAGTAACTCATGATGCCTGATATTTTCGTAAACGTTTACATTCATATCTATATTCTCTTTCACACGAAGCTGCGATAATTAACTTTCCAATTATTTTTCCAACCGTTTAGCATTTTCAATCCGATAATAAATGTCATGATCAATCTTTGAATTTCTCCTTGAATAGTGGTCATCTGTCATATCGATTTATAAAGAAGATGCCACAGACCGTACGCGATACTTTCCATCTGGGACGAAATGGTATGCCGATGAATAAATGACTTCAGGCGCAGCAACATAGAACATATCTCTACTGTTCATTCGAAGGGATAAGTAAAAGTGAATTTAATCTATACGATGATTATGATAAACCGCAAGGAAAGTTTGATTCACAAACGATTTGTTTGTCACGCAACGAAAATCATATTCGACTCGATACATTTGTCATATAAGGAAAAGAAACGACATTACGATGGTGTTTACCTCTCATCGAACAACGTGCGTATCAAGCGAATCAATCTAAATAGAATCGATACATCAAGGTTTATCATACGTCTATACCACTCGAACTAATCTCTCTTACGAATTGAGAAAATTTTGTTGAACTCTCTCGAGAATTCATTCTTATTAGAAATATGATTTGCATATATCGATTGATTAAATATTGCAACGATTGAATTAGTTCGGAACAGAAGATCTTCATGCATAATTTATCATCATTCAAAAGCAAGTGAATTAAAGTACACACTGAGAAGATTTTCATCTCGAATAACACGCGATGGATGTCATTTGTTATTGACAACGCGTAGGAAATCAGCTGATATTCATCCCTCTGCTTGTTTTCTATTAAATTACAACCTTCAAAAACGATTATAATCCTTCGGAAAAATATTTTTGAAGAGAAGCAAAACTCTCTGTTTTTTATCGATCAAATTGAAAGAAATTGATTTATTGATTTAGAAGCAGAACAAACAGGTGCGTGTGTACAAAAAAGAAGAAAAAAGAGAGTAAATAAATCAATGTTTCCATGTGAATCTATGTTTTTTGTCCTCAGAAACATGAGTGAATCACACAACAAACGATCAATTGCACAAGAGGAAAAGAGAGAGACGAAGACATTTGATGATTAGTAGTTTTTTAAGAATGATTTTTCACTGTTGTCTGATGTTAATTCGAATTGAATAAGAGAGCAATAACAAGAGAGAAAACAAAAAAAGATAAATCTGATAATTGAGGAAAAGAAAGAAGAGAGATAAACTCGTGATAGCGATTTATAAAATAACACATTTGGAACCTTTTTTTGTTTTCTGAGGTTTGATTTGTCGGCCAGGTGGTGCAACTGTGTGTGTTTCGCGTACGGGATTCTTAAACGGACGGACAATACGCATCAATTCACAGAAAACCTTAAGAGAAAACGAGTCTATGTATAATATTTGCTCAAGAAATGCTGAAATCTTACTTTATCAACATTATGCTTTGTTTTAGCTGATGTTTCAATGTACCGAATCGACCAACTACGTGCTTTTTGCTCTGCCTCTTCCAACGTAACTTTGCGTCGTTCAGCTAAATCGATTTTATTTCCTACTAAGATTGCGGGAATATTTGTTCCTCCATTTTTGACACGCAAAATTTGTTCACTATATCGAATGAAAATATCCAATGACGAAATGTCTTCCGAAGAAAGTCCTTACTAGAGTTCGTTGAGATCAGAAAACGATTCACCGTCAGTGACATCGAATACAAGAAGAAAACCTTCACCACTACGAATGTACGTATCTCGAATTGCTAAAATACAATCATCAGAAATATCCGCATAGTTATTCAGAGTAAACAAACCAGCATAGTTCTCTTGGCCAGCAGTATCTAATATGTCAATTTGAACTTCTTCACCATCAAGCATCACTGCTTTTCGATAGGAATCGGCTTTTGTTGGCTCGTAATCCACAACGAACTAAGATCAAGTTAAATGTCGAAATTAACATAAACCCATTACAAATGATTCACACTTACTTCATCGTACATATACTGAAGGGTGAGAGCTGATTTTCCAACACCACCACTGCCAACCTAGATAGTTCATATTTGTATAAACAAGAGCTGATGATTTTCCTGGGAAAAGATTTACCATAATCAGTCGGTATACAGCTGCTGTTTTATTGGATGCTGCCATGACTCAAATGATGAAAATATATCTAAAAGTAAAGAACGATGAATATTACATTTCATTTTATACTATTCAATCCGGATATGAGTCACAAGAGAGATGAACCGGCTGCTTTTGAATCATAAATGACTAAAAACAGTATTGAGGATGTCTATAGAAGGAAGGAAGATGAATAATTTGAAGCTGTTCTTCGATTTGATAAGTTATGTTATGTTTCTTTACGGAGAGTGAGACGAAATAGCAAATATCCAATCCGTTGATAAAATGATCATGAAAGAAAAATAAAAATCTGCTCTACTGACATCTATTCTATCCATATTTCATTCGTTGAACACATTTTCATGACCTTATAATGTTGATTATTGATTGATTTCCTTCTTACTCGGAATATACCGAATGTTATTCTATATTTCACATGTCTGCAACAGACATAAGTATCGTGTAACGCTGAGAAGTATAGGTTCTCAAAGAACGACGTGATGAAATAGCCCTTGTTTACATACTTTTACAGAAAATACCAACGAATTAATTCTGGAAAAGAATAATGTTTTACACTGTTAAAGAAGGAAAGTATCCAAAAGGAAATAAATGAACCAATTAGAATTGAAAAATATTTTAATTTCGGAGAGTCTAGAAGCCGCTTTTTGCTTCTTGAAGCGAACTCAATATCAAAAGTGGATTTTAATCGAATTTTCAAGTACGAGGATAATCAGTATTATAGTTTTGATGATTAAGACTAGTTCAGTGATAGAATAGCAGTTTTCTGCACAGAGTAAAGGATTGAAAATGACGAACTAGAATACGTCCTTCGTAGAGTAATTCATTTCGTTTCATAGTGATGGACAGTTTTCGATCTGATGCAAGTTTCTTACGCGAATGCTTTTATGACGTTTTTGATAGACGCCAGAGCTTTGAGTTAAAGGTGCAATTGCGAAATCATGTTATATTTATGAAAAATGTACTTCTTCACCCTGAATACTCTATTCCAGAAAGAAAACAAACAATCAATTTTTAGACAAGTGGATAGAGAGCTGATGTAGCAATTCCACATTGATTTTGTTTGTTTCGACTCATTAGAATATAACCTTGCATTCCCCAGGTAGTACCCCATGAATTTTTAACAATATAGTAGTCTGTTGAATTCAACGATCCATATCCAACAGCTAAAACGGCATGATCGAGTCTCTTTGTTGAGCAATTTGGTTCGTCATACACGCCTCTCGAATAAAATTGAAATGAACCTTGTGAAGCATCAATGGAAACTGCGATTGGACCAACTGCAGCAATGGCAGCTGTAAGATCCGTTTCATTGTGCTTTTGTATACGAGTATAACCCTGTAAGGGATGAACAAAAACAAAATCATAATTTCTATTTACTTAAAAACAGATGCGTACTGTAATTGTAGCACCGACATCTTTTTTGTGAAATTGACACATTTCCCGTTGAGCCATATATGGATAAGTTTGTTCAGTATCAATTCCATGATGCATTTTAATGTAGTCATAGGCGAGATCTTGGTTACCACCATTGCATCCGAAGTTGAGCCACGAGCAATCGACTAAGTTTTGTTCGGAGAGCGGAACGAGTTTTGATGTTTTTGCAAAGTGTTGTCCTTCAAGTGCACCAGTTGTCGAAAAGGCCCAACATGAACCACATTGGCCTTGGTCTTTTACATATGTTACATAACCTTTGGTACGCCAATCTATATTTTTGAATAGAAGACATCGTAGAATAATTTGAGAAAACTGAGGCTTGACCTACCGACGCTATCTGGAAGAACGAAATCTGCTGGTGCAGTAAATGTTTGATAATTGTCTTGATTGACTTCGTTCTCTGCACTCATTTTAAATCCATTCATTTGTTTTCGAAATTCCTCATTTGTCTTTAAAAAAGAATTACATAAAGCATAAGAACGTCTTTCAATAATTTTACCATATCACCAAATCGATTCATTCGGAGCGTATAACTATGAAGACCAAGATCGGCTTCCAGATTATGTTGTTGAATCAAAGCAACATTTTTTTCCCATATCTGTCGACTATTTATACAATAGAATTTCTTGAGAAAATTACATATTCAACAAACCGATGTAACTCTTCTTCGTTGGAGGAATATCTCCTTTCAAACGTACGTTTGAATAAAGACCAAGATTCGTTCGATGCTGGGAAGCAATGCGCACTTATAAGAACAGCACACAAAAGAATTAAAGATCTCATTGTCTTAGGCACTTCGTCGTATGATTGAAAAACGTGTGAGGCCGATTGTGATATTGATAATGGCTAGCAACAGTTAAATACAAAACTTTTTTCCTGCGTCGTCAGATGTTCGAGATAAAACCATCTCAGCGACTTCATTTTATGTATTGATAAAAGATTTTCGCTTTTGCTTTGTCATGATGAGAATATCGAGAGATAATGAACATATGGTGACCTTCATCGATCGACTACGCAAATTAGAGAAACACGAGGTTTTCGATAAATAACATTCCATGAGAAGCTTTAATATCTTTATTTTGTTATCAACAACAAAAAATTGAAAATCTCATCAATAATTAGTTCTTCAAAAAGGCCTGGATAATTTCGCTTTAAATGACTTCTGTTTGTCAAAGTTTCGTCTACACCGTCCGACCGACATGACATGAGAAGATTGTCAAACCTTATTGGACGATTTAGAAAAGTATGACATATTCAAGATGGTGCTAATTGACATGAAAAATTTCACGCAAAAAAATATTCAAAATTTCCTCGACAATTGAAAAAAGAATTTTTTTTCATGAGTGAATTTGAATCGATATTTTTCGAAAGACATATTTCCATCGTATCGACCTGGTAAATGGCATCGAAACAGGTAAGCTGAACGTACATGGAGAAAATGTTTGTTTACCTTCACACGTTCTCGTGCGCTGCCATTAATCCTGAATAGTTTTGATTGATTGAGGACAATAGAAAAAGAAAATTTTCTCGGCAAAACATTCGATCGCTTAACACGAAAACTTCAGATTTGTATAATCTGTCGAGGATTATCTCATGATTATTCGAAAGCCGGATATATTCATTTTTTCCGTTGCTCGAACGGTAACTTTCAAAATATGGTAACATGATCTGATTGCCTTCCATTGTTACTTTTACAACATCGAATCAAGAGTTTGGATGTTTTATCGATGTTTTGAAAGAGGATACTGTGTGACTTTTGTTACACATCTCAATTTTCATTGTTTTATCGATTTCTCTGTTTGAATTCTAGAAACGATGGCTGCACAAAACATTGGGGAGAAGTTGGCGGCTTCTGTTCCTCAAGCACTCGGTGCTCGAGAATTTATGATTGAACGCTTGATTCTCGTAAGTACTGCTCTCAAGTATACGGTTTTAGTATTCGCACTGCTTGTATAGAGAGATAATACACGCGAATTGTTACGTGAAAATGGTCGGGAAGATGAATTCGAAAGTGATTTACTTGATTTAACTGAATGCACGTGTGGTATGGATACGTATGATCCTATGAAGTGCAAATGTCGAGCTCGTGAAGGAATCATGCTTCTTGCACAATTCTATTACGATACGGAACAGTACCAGAAAGCGTGGAAATGGTATTCCAAAATTAAGGATGTCGATCTACGTGGTACATCACTGTTTGATTGTGCATTTCCTTCGAATATTTTTCTTTCTATTTAGCCATGTATCAACTGGCTACAATGGGTTTTGATGGACAAGGACCGCCTGGATTCACGCCGGTTCGTTGAGAATTGATTTACAACGGTAAAAATATGATGATTCTCTGCTAGGATGATGCGTATCAAATGATGATCGAAATCTCAGCAAAAGGCAAAGATCCTAACTGCTTTGTTGTACCATATGCTGAATTTCACATTGGCAAAGCTTTCTTTCAAGGCTTCGGTGTTGCACATTCCGAAGATAAAGCTGAACAGTAATAACATTCACAGTTTCCGAAAATCTTTTCAACTCATCCATCGTAGATGGTGGCTATTAGCAGCAAGTGGCGATGGACATGATCCAGTTGTAGAAGCTCAAACCGCTCTCGCGTTTTATTACTCACGTAAAAGTTCATTCGTGTATGATTTAAAGAAAGCCTGGCATTGGCACAATCAGGCAGCGCAGTGTGGTTCGCTTGAAAGTCTTGGTAATATCGTGTTGATATTTACTACAGATATGACAGGTCATTAAATATGAAATTTCAGGTGCTGTAGGTGCGATGAGTTTGTTTGGTGTTGGTACAACGAAAAACATTAACCAAGCTATTGACTATCTCCGACGAGCGTCAGAACGAGGCAATATCTATGTAGGTGAATGACTCGTCAATGTTATTTTCACAAGATAACGCATTCTTATCGATAGGCTATGGGACTACTTGTTTATGCATATTACAATCGAAAACTATATACAAAAGCAACTGATTTAGCGAAACGGTGAGTAGAAATCAACAGATGTTTTATCAGAATAGATTTTCTCATATATTCAGAGTAGCTGCATTGGATAATATTGATGAGTTATCTCGAATATCTTGTTGCTTACCACAATATATTCGAAAAGGTATTGCTATCGCCATATTTATTCTCGGCAGATGCCTGGAACTTGGATTGGGAATCCAAAAAGATACAACGCAATCTGCGTTAATGTATAAAAAAGTAAAACTAATATAAATATTTTTAGCTCAATTGTTCAAAGTTTTACTCCTAGTGCTTCCAATACGATCCAGATGCTTGTCAACTATTGCAAGATTATTTAACACACGAAAAGATTTGATTATGGACCGTTTTATTTTGGCAAAAGGAGAATAAACAAATTACTCTTTTCAGATTAATACTTTTTTCATACAAATTCAAGGAAATAATTTTCCTGCTAATCATATGAGATAGTCTATTCTTTTCCCATTATGTACGTAAGAATTCTGATAAGCTTTAGTCAGTCTCATCCATCAGACTATCACCAGTATATCAATTTTCATATGGAGACGTAATAGGTCATTGAGATTCGGATAACAAACAATCTCAAGTTCAGAGAAATAGAAAAAGATCAGCATTCACGTTCACATTATCGTTTGATGTTTTAAGAAAAATGACTCAAACGGTGTATTTCGTGAGAATAAGCGTGCTATGACCTACCAGAATGGTTTCACTGATGAATTTGATGTTTGTTCGTAAATTCACCTGTTGATACTCTCATAAATCATTATCTATTTCGTAATATTTATAGATTTAGTTGCAAAACAGTATCTCATGCAGTATTGATCATTGATAATAAAAATAAAAATGAAGGCTAAAATATGCACTCAGAATCTATACTGAATAATAGCCTTATCAAAAATTGATGTCACGCCATACAGACAAGCGTTCTACCTAATAAGATATATTTTTTCAGAGGCGTTTAGAACAATTTTTATTCTTTCAAATCAAATAGATAAATTTTCTCGATCTACAACGAAAGTAATCATTGATAATCTGTTCCTTTCGTAAGAGAAGATCATGATATTTATTAGTGATATTTCTCAACAGCGAAGAAACGATAAACGATACGGCATATCGATCAAGTCATTTAAATGATATACCATGAACAATATCTGTACGGAATGTTTCTTTTGTACAAACTATGGCAGATTTCTTCAAAAAAAAAACATTCTCCTACGCTGATTCTTCATACAACTTTATCAGATCATCATTTTTATCATTGACGTGAAAGCGATATGGAATATGTAGGTGTTGGAACACAAAATGGTAATGTGGAAAGCCAACCAGCTGCTCGATTTCTAAACTATTTAAGACTTGTGTTGATCCGGTATTAGGTGATAAGTTATTCAAAGATATCTCCAAGATACATAGTGTACTGAAGAAGGAATGTTATTCGTAAGTCACGTCATTGTTTTCATGTGCTTTGTTGCATATGCAACATCACAAACTTATACGACAGTAGGTTTGACCGATTGTGGTATGTACCCGGACTTATACATGAGATTCGATTCGATCTTAGATTTCATTTGATTAGGATCAAAAAATGTTCAAATCAATCGATTAACATTTTTGCCCATGCCTATTATTCAACCTGGTCAAGGTACACTGTCATTTGCTGCTTCAACTACTGAATTTATCAAAGGTGTTATCAAAGCTGATTTGAAAATTGTACGCACAGTCAGTGGTATTAAATTACCAATCAGTTGCTACATTGTCGAAGGTGAAAAAGTTGGCTCATGGTATAGAACAGATCGCAGTCAACTGATTTCATTGAATTTTCATATTTCATAGTTCATACCCCGATTTATGTGGATTGATGAAACGTCTTGCCCCTATGGAAAACGGATGTCCAGCTAATCTTCTTCAACATAACATCGATTGCGAATGTCCAGTAGATATCACCACAAATAATATTGACATTGAAATTGACCTTACAATTCCTAAAGCACCAGAGTAAAGAGTTTTCTTTATTAGGTTTACAATTGATTGAATTCTGTTTCTATTTCTTTTACAGATTTGCCTCATGGTTAAGTGTTGGTGACTTCGATGTTGAAATTAAAGCGACCGTTGGTAACATCTATGCTTGTTACATGATTAAATTCGCTGTTAAACCAAAAGGAAATAATTAGAAAAAAACTGAACATAATATTTTCAGTCTTTCCGTAATTGTTTGTGTGTGTGAAATGACGAGAAATGTACCATTCATTGTCTTGTGTGAAAGGAACTAATAGAGGGAATAAAATCAAGGCGTGTAATAAATGAGCCCTTTTTGTTACGCGGTATGTCTTTCGAGTCTTTCATGCGATTATTAATGAGTGAAGAAAGACGAACGTATATTAATGCTGATTACTCTCTCCTATTCGTCATTCTGTATTGGTTGAAAAGAAAAGACACAAGCCTGTAGTAGTTGGTGTTTGGGGAATGATAAAAACATACATATCTGTCTGTCGAGCTTCAGATGATACATATACAGAACGAAGAAATAAATAAAGCAAAAGAAACGATGAGAGAGAGGAGGAAAAAAGAAGGAGATAAACGACAGTTTATGTGCTTCGATCGCACCGCACTTTTGCATACGTATAAGAAGAAAAAAAGACTCATTCGTTTCTTTATTCAACGGTATACTCAATGATTTTCGCACTCATTATTTATATTTGTAGATGCTCGTGTCGCATTTATATTTGTTTGCGGTTTTTCTTCTGTTTTCGTTGTCGTCTTCATACATCGTCGAAGATGATGGTCATTGGCCATGGCATAAAACGAAATATCTGACACGAACGAACTGGACATCGGCACTTAAAGCCGATACATCTACATCGAAAGTTCGTCAACCTGTTTGGATTGTTTTTTATTACTTAACTTATTGCGGTTTTTGCAAACTTGCTGAACCGGGTTGGGAAGCTGCTGCTCAATATGCGACAGGTAAAACGATGCGGAAAATATTGAATGAAAACAGGTATTGTTGCATTCAAGGTTGGTCGAGATATCTCCGACTTGGCGCATATGATTGTGCTAGCGAATCATCATCTCAGAATGATATTTGCGAAGACGAAGGTTATCCGCAGTGGCGAATATTCTGTCCGTTAACAAATTCCACACAATTAGCATTTAATTCAGAACGACGAAGTGGTAACGTCAAACCAGAAGACATTTTAATGTGGTCAATAAAGAAACTCAATAAAATTGCACATGTTTGTTACGGAAAAACATGGCCCGTTCGTCATGTGATTGAGTAAAAGTTGAAAAGAACAAAACTTGGATGATGTATTGAAATTTCTTCTCCTAGACCGCAGTCACTGGATGATTTGAATCGTGTAATTCCTCCAAACTACAAAAATTTTCAATTATTCGTCTCGGACGACATTCTTCTCTATAGTCTCGTAACTATTTCACCGTTTCTATGAGCTTCTTCTTATGAAAATTATTTCGCTTTGTTTTAGTATGTTTTGAATAATTCGAAAACTGTTTACAAAGAACCAATCTTTCGTTTGCACACGAAAAATCCTGTCAAATCAGGTGTTAGCCTTTGGAAAGGTTCAAGAAATGAGCACGGAGAAATCACACTTGAACCGTACGTAACCAAACGAGATTGCAATCGAAATTCAGTCTTGTTTTCTCTAGAATGGACTGGACACAAGCGATGAAACAATTTGTGTTGAATGTTCATAACAGTTCTCATAGTGACAAACTTGAAAGGTAAGATTTCTTCTCGTTCTTCTGTCGTGCTGAATGGTTGTTCAGTGAGAAACCTGGCGCATTGAGACCAACGCTGACGGATGTCGATAGCACTGTTGTCTGGATGGTTAATAAAGACTTACGACGCAAGCTACCTACATTATTCGAAGATGTCAAATCCTGGCTCAATGTCCTTCATACGGTAATAGAAAAATGTTTCAGAAAGATGAAATTCAGGTTTTCTTTCTTGTATAGTATTATCCAGGAAGTGAGAGTGTAAAGACTTTCCTTTATGATTTAATCAATTTTATGAATGACCGTACGACATTGACAAGCAAAGAATTACAAAATTATATTAATTCTACTTCGGTAATCTTCTTGTCTTAATAAGATTTAGCTAAAGGAGATGCAACCAAAACAGGACAGAATGAGTATTAAGAATGCTACTGTTTTGAATTGCTTTCAGTCAATGATCTGCTTAACATCTCAATCAGGGGATTGCAGCTATTGTTCAATCAAAGGGCACGGTCATAAATGTTTCATCCAAACATCATTTGATTATCCTTCAAGGAGAATATTGCTCATCTGTTTCTTTGTTCTTAATCTTAGATTATAAAACTACCAGATATCAAATTCGATCATTGTAACGGATCCGACCCAACTAAACGTGGTTATACCTGCGGATTATGGCTTCTATTTCATAGTATGACAGTTAAGCAAGCTCTACTTGCCGAGGACAATAAATGTAAGTTGATTTTGAACGAATCGCAGTCAAATGGTTTTCTCTTTTCAGTACCGTCCGATGCAAAACCAATCGATGTGATTGTTCCTATTCGTGAATTTGTTCGCAAATTTTTCCTTTGCGAAGAATGTGTGAAACATTTCACCAACATGACCAGCAACGCTGAACACGAAATACCTTCGTACAAAGAAAACGTTTTGTATCTTTGGCGAGGTAATATTCACATAAATTCTTGATTGAAAATTATTCGGAAAGTCTTTAGGTCATAACAAGGTGAATGAACGACTTCGCAATGAAGAATTATCCAGTGATCCAGCTTGGCCGAAAGTTCCATTTCCAACAAAGCAGGAATGTAATACTTGCGTTCGTCAAGTTGATGAGAACAACGATGCGACGGAATTCGATGAAAATGAAGTTTATAATTATTTAAAAGAGTATTATGACATACAAAAAACATCATCGAAGAGTAGCACAGCTGTTCATCAACAATATAGTCTCATGATTTTGTTATTTTCTCTATTGATGATAGTGCGCTTTTAACAACTTGACCAACTTTGTCTCTTGAAATCAGTAGTTAGTATTGAATTTGTGTTAGGCTTACTATTTTGATCAATAAACAAACGAACAAATAGCGCTAATTTTTTCTATTAGATAAGTCGTGTTCTTCCAGTGAAAACTGAGACGATCTCATTATATGTAATCAAACAGATGTTCGTGAGAAATCCAAGATTGTTTCTCTATTTGTTTGATCTGCCTTGATGATCTAAAGTATCTCGATGAATGGCAATCGATACATCAACTATCTTTTCCTCGATTAGACGTTAAATCTAGTTTTCAATTTCATCACAATGTGTTGAATATTACGCGCCAACATATCTTCGTTATTAAGAAAGCTTTTTCATCTGAACATTCCATGTGATTCAACTTGGATGAGAATGAATACAAGTAATAGTCAACACTCAGTTGCTGATCTCTTACCATATGGAATATCTGGTAGAATGGCGACGATACTGACAAGTAAATATGAGAATAGAGAATTAAATATCGAGCGAGAATTGACTTGATCTAGAACAACATGTTAGTGATGAAGATTTGCAAATTATGGATCGAGATGATGTAGAACATTTGTTCAAGAATGAATATGGATTTACTTTTCGCGACCGAAAACAGTTTTGGAATATTGTCCAAAAAATTGTAGAGAAAGATTAAACATTTTCTTGTGTTCTCGATATTTATTTACCTCTTCTAGCAAATATCCGAAAATACGAACAGAAAAACCGAAGAAATCGCCCACTCACCGGTATGAAATATCAAGTCTTTGTGTATTCAGAAAGCACAATACCCATTTCTAGGAAAGTCTTGAACATGTCTATGGATTTGTCGAAGAAGAAGAAAAAGAGGAATCGACTGATTCCAAGCAACACCAACTATCTCATTCAAATCATCTCTTCGAAAATAAAGTCACGTCTAACATCGATGACGATGATGATAAACATTCGAATTCCTCATCCCATCTCTCTATATCATCGGGTTATATTTTTACTTATCCAACTATTTTACCGAGCTTTTCATCGAGCATCACTCATGCACTTCAAACAAATACGATTCACAAACAATGGGCAGCATTTATCAATGAACTCGCTCGATGGGTTATGTCGATCAAGCCATGTCTTCGTGAACAACATGAATATCGAGCTATTGGGCAGACTTTGTATGAAAAATATCCGAATATAGGCACAGCTGGCCCTAAACCATGGTCATTTTTGTGTCGAAGTCTTAGCCAACGAATTCGAACTGAAAGATGGCAAAGACGTAAAGCAATAACTATGAAAAACAGAAAAGAAAGTCAAAGAAAAACACTCGATCGAAACAATGATATGGCCGATTTTGAAATCCTAATCTAATGTATTTGTTCGAAATAAAAGCACGAATATCCCGTATGGGCGCAATATTGTTTCAATCGAAAGTGAAGAACCTGATCAATTGCGGGCGTCTCTTTTCATACGACCAATCACGTATTTATATGTCCCTGTAGACTAGCAAAAATAGTAATGTCGAATGACTGGGTAGTGTACCAAATATTTACAAAGGTCGGATAACAAAGATACCATCCATCATTTAATCGTTTGCATCATTAGCGTCAAACAATGCAAGCAATAATGATAACTATAATTTTCCTTTTTCGCTGAATAACGATTGAGAGATACGATTTTCCCTTCAGAAAGTTCTACTTCGAAAATAAAGCGAACCACATCATTAACACATCTTACTAATCAAATTAGTTATCCAAGAGTATTTGGTCAGTTAAAATTGGGTATTTTCGTTTATTAGTGCTCTTCTCCTATTATCTACACACTTATGAGTTTTACCTCTGTCGTTAACCATTCATATACGCTCAGTGCAGCTTGTTTATACGCACCACTGCACTTCCAATCATCCTCGAAGGTATGTCGATTTCGATGATATTTTGTTTGTGCATTCGCATCTATTAATCATACAGCAGAAAGTAACTCCCAAAGTTAACGTTGGATCATACACTTTCATAGAATATGCGATTTTGTTCGAAATAGAATACTGACAATGAATTATCAGAGCCCAATCTTTTCCTACTTACTTCATCAAAGTATACCTGTCTCAATGATCTCCATTCTTGAAAGTAAGGTTTTTGTGTTATTTGTGATTACACATCCAGTTTATTCAACCATATGTAGATCAATGTGTTACGAACAAAGATTTGCTAGCGATGGATCGAGATGATGTCGAACACTTATTTAAAAACGAGTACGGCTTTACATTCGCCGATCGAAAACGTTTTTGGAATACGATACAGAAATTAGTAGGTCGAAAGGCATCGTAAAGAGCCGTCGATGATAAAAGAAAACTTTGCTTATTCTAGTACTCACCGAACAGAAAACGTCAGATCGTTTGTATAGGCGAAAAAGAAGATAATAGCAGAATGCCTGTATGAAAATCAAATTTAAATGTGGTCATAAAATTTCCTTCAATTTTTTTAAGGACATCTATGAAGGAGTTAACATTGAACCACCAAATTATCCAGTAAGCATGTCTTCGTGTGCCTCGTTCAAAGAAGATTCTGATGACGAATTTAACATAACTGAAAATTCGTCAGGTAACTGTGTTGATACTCCGAAAATTTCTACAACATCTTTATCAACTGTTGCATCGAATAAACCGACAGAGTATAAATTTCAGTATCCTGTGGAACTGCCTCAGTTCTCCGCAAAAGTGACTAAAGCATTAAAAGATAATACAATTCAGGATGAATGGGATACATTTATGAAAGAACTTGTTAGTTGGATATTAAATAAAAAAACAGATTTTCTAATTAAAGCCGAATACCAAGCGATTGGACAGACGATCTATAAATATTATCCAAGTATTGGTAAAGACGGTTATCGTCCATGGTCATATTTTTGTAAAACTTTAACGGACAAACTTCGGAAAGAAAGGCGCAGACGAGGTTATCCATGTACGAGATCATGGAAACCGTTACCAACCTAACGTTGTACTGGATTCTTTTCCATTAATTGTTTCTTTAATTAAAAATAAATGGTACATAATCGAACAATACTATTTACCAGAAAAACGCTCCTTTGGATATGTTTTAAATGTCATACTTTTACAGATAAGAAGAATAATAATAGTCTTTATTTGTTTACGAACAACGTAGGAGCGCGTACTCAGTGGTGAATAAACAACCTTTTAAGTAGAATATGTAAATAGATGAGGAGATTTTCGAGTTTATTTTGTTACATATTGAGATATGCAGCTGAGGATTCGCATTAGATCAATCATTGATGTTCTCATTTAAATAAATTCTCTTTTCTCATCATCTAATTCCATTAGAACGAGAGATATTCAGCTCTATCAATGTAATATTAGATGATTACATTAGATAGAAGTTAATGTATTTAGTAGAAAATACTCTATTTGCATACGCTAAATAGTAGTTCTGTTGTAGAGATATGTCCTTTTGGAAAGCATTCGACCTTGTCGCATTCTCAACGAGGAATTGTTTGGGAAAAATAAAGATAAATGACATATCAATAGGTAAGTCGATTTGCATGCATTTTGGATTGTTAATGCTGAATAGTTCTTTCGCTGATTGAGTACAAATCAATCGGAGTTGTGCAATGGTAATGGCCCGTAAAGCAGACGAGAAGCCATCTGTTTTTGATCGAAAAGATATGAGAAGTTCTTGAGTAGAAAGCTGGATGACAGATATATTTCAAACAAATCAACTGACATACCGAAACATTCGAATTCAATTAGACGTGACAAAGTACTGCATGGTACAGAGAAAGTGCAAAAAGACTTTCTTCCTGCTGACTAAAACCGTGTATATATTGTCGCTTGTTCATTATAGGATTGTTTACTCTATTGAGGAGATATTAGCCGAATATTTTATTAAAAATCCAGGATTGCTCGATATACCCTAATGTACTGCAGATTTCAATCAGCTATTTCGATAGAGAAGAAGATCTTTCACTAGATTTATCCTATTTATTTTTGTTTATCATGCTAAAATAAGATTTGAATAGCTAACAAATGAATAATAATATGTCCGATGTTTAACAGCGATGTGTATCAACGTACGTGTACGGATATATGATTAACGATTCTTTCCAGATGTACGAGTTTGTCTTCTTGTTTTGTTTTTTAATAAATAGGAACGACATGTACCTATAAGACTTTCTAAATCGCAGGAACGTAAAAGGTATTAAAGAATGTCAGCGAAGTAATTCGTGATATTTTTCTCTAATAGTAAAGTTATATGACCGTAATTAATGCGGAAATATGAGTATATTGGAAGAGAAATATTTGTTTTTTTGTTGATTGTATGGCAATGTAGAGATAAGAGAAAGAACATCAAATCAGGCGAAAATAATGAGCAAGGAATGATTAGATCGCGTATGGTATTTACGTCATCATAGCATTCAGAGTATCAAATAGTTATAATTCGTTCGAATTTCTATAAGAATAAATAATAAGAGAAATGAAGTGTTTTTCATGATTTTATTCATAACATTTTAATAAATTCATGATGAATAATCACTTTTCGTCTGCATATATTATATGAATGGCGAGACGTTTTCTTCACAAAAGATACTAACTGGAATTTTATGATATCATATGATCAAAACAGACAAACAAACGCGATTAATTTAGTGTATTTCGCCCTTCGGTTAGTGAAATTATTGAAGATCCTAGATTACTTTCTCTTGTTATTTCACAGGAGAAACATGTTTCGTAATATTAGTCTAGGAAACAATAGTAGACATTATTTATTTGTCCTCTGAGATTTCATATATATATATCAACGTCTGTGCGTAGTTGTTCTTATCGTTTGATGATTATTTTTTAGCAATACGACTATTGTCTTCTACTTCTCATGTTGTTATTGTTATTCTTAGTATCTTATCAACTGAGAAAAAAACAAATGTAAGTTGAAATTATGTAGCCTTCATATATATATTATCTTTTTTCGGGCTCTTTAATAGGCAACATACATCTGTCAGTCGATCTACTGGAATGCGAGATGGATGTCAATACAGTTTATGAGTGGGTTGTGTTGGAGAATATCCGAAGGTTATGTTCGTTGATAAACGAGCCATATTCAACAAAATCAAACGACGAAATAATACATATGTGTATGAAGAGAAGTCAAAACGAAAGAGAGAGAGATCATCTGATGAAGTCTAAGAACATGAGTCATGATCTAATAGGATCATCAACATGAAGGAACTTGTATCCACTGACAAGATTTAATATTAGATAATTATTCTTTCGACGCGTAGCGTATGAAATGTCGCAAGTAGTTTGAGAGGTTTTAATCTCGATTGCGAATCATTGTTGCGTGTATTCAACCTTGGAACTGAGAGAGAAATGTCGCATCTGTTTTAATAAACGATCAAATTATCTTTTTACGAGAGATAGTCTAAGAACTTGTCTTTCCATCGTCTATTTCGGTTATTCGCTAGAACGAACATTTCGGTTTTTCTTCAGGGACATTTGTCATCCATTCTTTTTTATTAGATTTGTACAGCAGATACAAACATTTTGATTACACGAGATGATGACAAGAAGAAGAGAAATGCAGATCCATTGAGCATGATGAAATTAGGTGGTTTTCATTTAACCTTCGATTGATCGCGAAGAGAAATAGAAGAATAGATAGGTGCTTAGTTATAGTCATTAATAAACATCCGCAATCTGATAAAAATTGTCAAATGTCTACATCAATGCGTGTACTAACGGCAATGAACCGGTTTTTCTTTCTTTATCCTTCATGATTAGGACTATTAGTGGCTTGTGAGATATAATCGTACATATACGCAAACAGGCATAGAAAGAAAGAATCAAAGAGGAAGAGAGAGAGAGAGCGCATATGAGAAAAAACCTCTCTAACGCTATGCAGGCTTTGCCTGTTCTATCTTCGTTTACAACATTGAACAGTAACACATACATCATCGAAGTCGCCTTCAGAACCGAGACAAGGTAGCAGCAGACAATAGACATTTTTTAATGAAACAGAGATGGACATAGCGCACAAAAAGACGAGAAGAAAGAAACGAGGAATGTCATTGTACGGATCAACCTTGATACAAGGTTATTAGTGGCATTCATTCCGTTTGAATATATATCACTATCTATTCTTTCACATGGAAACTGTCAGTGAAAGGAATGGAACCGACGAAGAATGATGATAGTGACACGCCAGACAAAATAAATTCGTGTCGCTGTCGAGACGAATCGATCATCATCCTGTCATTAACTCTGTAAGTAACTCGATGAAAGAGAACTCTCCATATGAATGACAATACCAGGTATGTTAAAGATCCATTTCCACACTCGATTGACTAGATAGAAACGAATAGATCAA